ATAAATAAATAAATAAATAAATAAATAAATAAATAAATAAATAAATAGATAGATAGATAGATAAATAGAGTAGCATTTCAAGATATATTTTTTAATTATTTAGGTGTCTGGTCTCATAAAATTATTCTATGTCCTGTAGAAAATATATGCAAATTTCATCAAGGTAGCTATGACTTTTCTCAATATGTATAAAGACTTTTTTAGAAAGAAATTCTAAACACAATGTATGGGGGGATGATTCACACATCTTTAATATCTTTACTATTTAAAACAAAGGTGATCTTTTACCAATGTGGCAGAGCAGATAACTTTTTAAAAGAAAATCTAATTTCAATAGTTTCTCTAAACCTTAAACCTTTTTATAATTTTATAAACTTTATTATTTTAAAAAAGTTTGCAAATAGATAAAAACATTATACACCAAAATCAATGAGAGCCTGAAGTCTGTACAAGTCAATGACCCTCCAACAGATAACACTTCACCCAGTCAACAAATGTTGGAGAAATGTTAAGAAAAAAGAACACATACTACACTTTTTGTGAGGTGCAAATTAATACAGCCATTGTGGAAGTCAGTTTGAAGATGTCTCAAAAACTTAAAAATAGAACTACCATATGCCCCAGCTCTTACACTCCTGGGCCTAAACCCAGAAACTCTAGACCCTATCATAGAGATATCTGAACCCCAATTTTATTGCTGCCTTACTACTATAGCAAGGAAAATGAACCATCCAAGTTGTCCCTCAACAGCTGAATGATAATGAAAACTTAGTATATATCATTACCATTTATTGTTATTTATTTACATCAAAGTGATGGTAACAAATGTCAGAATAAAGGGTCTATTTGTCTCAGAATAGTAAAGCTAAAATTTAACTATTCTTTAAACACTATGCTGTTGGTTTAACTCAAGATTTTCTTCAAAAACACAAAGCCCTAATTAAAACATGATAGTTGTATAAAATGATATATCTCCATAAGTGCTTGTTTGATGAAGGTCTTTCTTAAATACCTAAAATGGCTAACCCAACATATACGAGGCAAAATACTACGCTGGATTTCAATCTCACTTTTTGCCAGCTTTCTGATCTGAGTAAGAAATAAATGAAAATTGGTTTGAAAACTTGCATATACATATAGGGCATGTGTGTATAGATGGACCTATGTATCCATAAAAGACATACCCTTATTCAAAATTTCAAGTAGCCAAATAAGGTTCGGTAACAGGGATTTCATCTCATATAGGACGTGCGTGCACACCTAAGCTGTCACTATTGCCACACTCGTCACACTTGCCAAAGAAAGCACTTACAAATTTACTGTAAAATAGACTAAAAGTTTTAAATAGCAGTTAAATAGACAGTATGGAAAGGCAGTCTAATGATCTAATTTATTCATAATAATTACTACAATTAATAGGTACTGTGATACCCTCTAGTGGGGCAGCCAGGTCATACCTCTGGTAATAACTTTCAATCGCTTCTGGAGTGTGATGTTTGGCATGTGTTCTCTTAATATGCTTCTGAAACAAAACACACACAAAACATTTTTATGTTGTGTCACAGATCAGGTTCAAGAACAGCAAAGACATATTTCTTTATCCCAGGGGCAAGCATATGGGGCAAATGGGTAATGGCTTGGGGATTTGGGTGGTGGCAGGATTTCCTTTCCTGCTACAGCTATGCATTTTAATCTCCTGTGTGGCTGGGATGTCTTCAGAATGTACCACAAGTACAGTATATATGTAAAAGCCACCAGGGTCATAGTAATTGAATCTAAATAAGTTTGCTTAGGGCTGCTGAGGGCAAGAAAAACTTGTCCCTCTTTCAACCTTTGTATTAATTTCCCTTCAATTCAATTCCATCTAAGTCCTCTGCACTCGGGCTTTACAATCCAATCGCCATATTTAACCAGGAAGAACACTGCTTAAAAACAACTTATTTGAAAACTACAAAAAGTAATTCCATAGAGACTTGCCACTTGACTGACACCTGTCATCTCATGATAAATGACTCCATTTTCTGCCTTTCTTGCCTTCTGCCACTCCAGCAGTGGTCATTTATCATCATCTCTGTCAGCAATGGGAAGCGGCACTGACAGTGCAAGTCAGCAAACATTTAGCACATGGAGCCACGCAACACAGGGAAATTATTATTGTCAGAATAATAATGGTTTAGCATAATTTATTACAGGTCCACCAAATAAGCAAAGGCTAGATGTTATTAGACAGATGGATGGGTAGGCTTGGCAGGCCTCCACTGAGACGCAGGCAGAGCTTGATGTGGAAAGGGGAACATCCTCCAACCCAATCAGAGAGCTGGCAGTTCAATTACAAAGAAATAAAGGGACATTCATCATTCAATTAGGCACCTGTCAACCCTCACAAAGGAGAAAACTTCTAACCTGGTACTCCTGGGAGAAGATGCTCAGCAGAGTGGCCTGCGATTGACTGGAACAAATAAAAGAAGGACAAAGTTAATTACTGGAGTGCACAGCAAAGAAATAAAAGAGAAAGGACCTTCAAAGGTAGGCCCGCTGCCCTGTAATCCAACAGAACACGAAAACAAGTGTGGAGAAGTTGTTCCAGATGAGAACCTCACACAAAGGCTTCCTGCCGCGAGGTCAAGGAGAGAGGAAGAGCGGAAGCATATCATTTGGATTCTCTGCAACCTCAGGATGGCTGTATCATATCTATAGTATAAAATGGGGTTTTATACTACAAAGGACTACAAGAAAAAGGTTTCATACCACAAAAAAATGAGTTGCTCCTGGGAACAGGAGAAAGCACACATTTCACTGACTGACGGCACTCCAAGGTTTATCTTGTAGGCTGTCCCAGATTCAGGAGGGAAACACTGTTCTTAACTAGAGGTAGCACAGAGGCTAACAGACCATTCTCACCTTCTGGCAAACTCTGAAAATAGAAGTGAAGGCAGCAGGAAGTGGTGGTCTGCAGAAGGCCTCACTCCTCAAGACTACAGTTAGCCTTAGTTACCCAGATGTCACAGTGCCAAACACTTGGCAGTGAAGCAACTGGGACACCTTCTTCCCAAACAGAAAGTTAGCTTCTGCACCAGTCTCCTTGAGAGAATTTCTCTAAAATGTCAGCACCCACTGCTGCCCTCTGTCTACCCTTGGTGGATGCATCCACCTTACCTTACCTTACCTACTATGACAATGACTCCTTTTGATGCAGTCTTCTAGTAAATGCAAACTGAGGAGTCTGTGATTTAAATACGTTTCACAGTATGCCAACAGTCTGTGAACATTAATGATTTTATTTATGAATGAACCCTCCCAAGTGTATCACCAGTTCAGAGAGTTTGAAATAAAAATTGACTCCACATTTGTCTGTTCCCTGCCAGTGTCCGCAGCTTCTGGAAACCATCAGGGGTTTGGCTTCTGACCCTACTCACCAGGACCAAATTATATAAGGAAGTTTTAAAGGAAAAGAAAAAAAAAAAGCCAAAAAAACAAAAACAAAAACAAAAGTAAGGCCAGCAAGATGGCTCAGTGAGTAAAGGTGCTGACAACCTGATTTCAGTCTCCACACACACGCACCCATACATATACACACACACACACATTCAATACAAATACATGTAAAATTAATAATATAATCCCAGAACTCTGGAACTGAGGCAGGAGGATTGCTGCACGTTTGAGGTCTATATTTCAAGTAGCAGATCAACCTTGGCTATAGAGTAAAATTCTATCTTGGGGAAGGGGGGGAACAGAGAGAAAGAGGGTGAAAGAGACAGATTGAGACTATCTCCAGAGTGGGGGGAATCTATAGATGTTCACCAAGGAAAGTGCATATATAATTAAAGAACTATTTCAGTATGTCAAAAAGTACCGAGAAAAGACAGAGGACAATTATACATTTATTAGTCAATTTTCTCAATTTTCTTTTAAAATTGGAAACCATCATTTAAAAAATTAAGTGTGTGTGTGTGTGTGTGTGTGTGTGTGTGTGTGTGTGTGTGCTGCCAGAACTTAACATGCAAATCACATAACCTTAGTTAGCAGGGTTAGGGAAAAAAAATGCCAAAATAAAGGTCCAATGTATAAACTACTCAAGAAAGTAAAATGCTTCCTATCTATATATGATTAAGAGACCTCTCCTCATAGTACAAAACAGACTGGTGTTATTGACTATTTGACAGTACACAAGTCCATTTGTAGGTTCCAAAGAGTATGATAAAAGCACTGGTTGGAAAGACATAAGATGCTGGGCATGGTGGTGCATGCTGGAGCTGAGTTTGAAGCCAGCCTGGTCTACCTGGTCTACAGAATGAGTTCCAGGACAGCCAGGCCTACACAAAGAAATCCTGGCATGGGAAAAGAAAACCCATAAATAAACAGTTCCAAGTGAGTCCGGTCACGGCTTGGGACACTGTAGGATGAGATCATGTATTTAACTAGAGAAGGTCTTTAAACTGCTTGGTTCAGTTCAGCTAAAACCATGGGCAGAGACTAATGGAGCAGCCAAGTTTCTCTGTGAAAAGGAGGCCAGAAGTCCCACCCACAAACATTGTTGGGAAAAAAACAACTGGCTAAAACCAAAGCCAAAACATAATTCATGTTATACCAACAAGGAAGACTGGCTCCCAGGATATTTTGGTTTTCCAGAACAAAACTTCAGAAAAACAGGTGACCTCTGATAAATAATTTGCAGGCCAACTCTCTGCTCCAGTCTGTGTTGATCTAGCAAGCCAACATGTGATAAAAACCAGAAGAGGAGCCTTGAGGCAAGCTAGGACACTGACACCAGTGTCCTCTCCCTGCACTTGCCTCAGTGTGCTGATGCTCTGAGGGTGCTGGAGCTCGAGTCTCAGCAGGCGGGAAGGCCAACAGTCTCCTCTCAAAGCTACAGCACTAAAGGGTGTAGGGGGTGGCCAGCCAGTCACTACAGCAGCAGAAAGAGACCAGGGGGCAGTGAAGAATTCATTCTGTCGGCCAGAATAAGAACAATAGTTTACAGAGCGCACTGCACGAGGGTAGCTGGTGGGGCAGTGACTAGAACACCTCCGGCAGCAAAAAGTGGAGTCCATCTAGAAGTGTTTTCAGGCAGAATAAGACTCTCTCTGTCAAGTTTCCTGCATGTAATTTCCACCACAAGAAGAATATAGTCCACTGTGTCTAGTGTCCAGTTCTGACACATTAACTCACCAACCTCCGACAGTTGCTAATAGCTTTATTTTACGGAGGAAGAAATTCAGGAAGAAACTTTAACTTAAAACACACAATTACGCACCGAGATAAGGCGGTGAATAAAAATCCACATCCAATTCTGGAACTGAAACTCTCAGCCTCCATGGTGCTTGTGTCTTCCTAACAGTTCCTAGAAAATGGCTCGGCAAGGCATGCATGCTAACACCTCTGACAGGCATTTACGGGGCTGTAGTTCCACTACAGACCACCCTGAAAGGTGTAACGTGTTGCTTTTCTGATAGGAAATTAAAGGCACAAGAAGTCAAATGTTTTGACCAAATTAAATGGCTTTAGATAATATTCCCTTCTTTAAAAAAAATCAAAATGTGGTTTTCCTTTAACGAGGTGCATAAAATACAATTTTCTTTTTGTGTTGAAAGATAAAGGGACTACTGATGGCAGGAAACAGTCTGGGGTAAGAAGGCTGGTCGGGACATTCTATTATTCTCTTTACAGATAAGGTGGATTTTCACTTCAACCACTGCCTGGGGTGTTTCTATCAGACTGTACACACGTCTTTTACTCGAATGTTATTTTCATTTCATAACTTAACATCTCACATAAAAATGGTAGAAACACTTTCTAAGGTGTTAATCTGATAAAACAATATTTAATGAAGAGTTTCCCACCTATAAAGAACATATTCTGTGTAAAATCCAGATTTCATGGTTGACAGCCATCTAATCTACAGCTTGCCTGTGTTTTCATCGTGTCCAAAGAATACAGATTTGCTTGCATCTATACAAAATGGAATATCTAAAAATTATGAGTATTAAAAGATACTTTTATAATATTCTTTCATCATAAAAGACAGTCACATCTATCCATTCCACTAGAACTATTCTTTTTTAAATTATTGTGAATAAAACAAAAATATTACCACATGGAAAAAAATTACCAAGTGTGCAGCATAACAAATTAGTATTTTTAAAAGATGAAAGCAAACCATGTAAGAACTTAGGTCAATACCTTCATGACCCAGAGGGCCAGCCATGCAATATCTTTCCAGCTAAGGAATGATGGTCCTTATGGTCTTCTCTTTGATTTCCTTTAATTTTCCGTGACATATTAAATATGTGTCTTACAAGTAAGTAGTGTCTACTGGTGGACATTACAAGAAACAGCTTACACAGTGCGTGTTTTTCGCTTCCTTGGCACCTGCCTCCTCACCTGACATGTCTACAAGAGGGACTCATCCACAATGGACACGGTGCAGTTCACTGCTTTCAGTTCACATTTACTCTTGTGGTGATATATGTCTACAGTCCCACCTCAACGCTTGAGATGCTCATAGGTACTCCAATCTCTGCTGGCTTCTAAACTTTGTCCAATGACCCTATAAAGCTATCAAAAGTACTGCTTGGAACATGACTAGACTGCACGTGACCAAAGGCTAACTGATTAAGAATTTAAGGATTTCAAGGGGAGCCCCCCAAAATGCTACCTGCAAAAATTAAAAATCCTACTTAAGTAACCGCTAGAAAATATGGAATAATGATGGAACATGTACAATCAGGCAGTAATAATGGCCAAGAGAAACTCAGACAGCTTGCTATCTATCAGAATCAAAGAGACATGAATTGAGCTACTGTACAGAGTCCTAATAAACTATACAATGCAGGACATTTTTGCTAGTCTTAAGGCAGAACATGGTCCATTTATTTTCAAATAGAAAAGAACATGCTACCAAGAACACTTAACACATTCTAAAGACCAGAAAGTAGAGAACTTACACTAGCAGATTATCCTTATTAATAAATTTGAAAAAAAAACAGTATTTACCAAAAGAAGTATATTATGAAATAACATC